TATTACACAGGTTTAAATAAAAATAGGGATGTTCAAATATTTGAAAAATATCAAACGATTTATCTCCTCAAAAAAGTGCATTTTAAACTATAATAGCTAATATTTGTATATACAGTAACAAGTGCTCAAGATAAGATTTGAACTTACAACCTAAACATCTTCAGAGTTCCGCTCTACCAGGTTGAGCTTCTTGAGCTTTTTTGTTTTTTTTTTCTATTCTTACTTTTTATATCTACCTTTTGTTTATATACTAGTTTTTAATTATAAATAAAAATACAACTTATGTATATTTAACCCCACGGGGATTTGAACCCAGGATGTAACAGTGAAAATGTTATGACTTAACCATACTTGTCGATAGGGTCTTTATCTTTTACATTCTAATTAAAAAAGGTAATATTCGAGAAACGACTTGAACGTTTACGATATTTTATCAGTAAATCTTAAGTTTACCCTGTCTACCAATTCCAGCACTCGAACTTTTTTTATTTATGTACTTTTTTGTGTATACACAAATATTATACTATTTTATACCACTTTGTAATGGTAAGCTAGTAAAGGCATGAGGTTTAGGAGGATTGTTTAATGCTCATTCTAAACTTGTATAGGCTCTACTTAAATAATGTTGTAAGAAATCTGTGAAAAACTGAGGTGTAGCTCATGGATATCTTAACATACTTTTACCTTCTACTAATTGATCGTATAATAATTTTAAGAATAATCATGTAGCTACCACAGATATAATAGATCCGTAACTACTTATTAAGTTTCAGCCTGCAAATGCGTCGGGGTAATCACTAATTCTTCTAGGCATACCTTGTAACCCTAAGAAGTGTTGAGGAAAGAAAGTAAGGTTAACACCTATAAATAATATTCAGAAGTGAACCTTACCCAATAATTCGTTGTAATCTAATCCCAGTATTTTTGGTATTCAGAAGTATCATGCACTAAATAATGCAAATACTGCTCCCATACTTAATACATAATGGAAATGTGCAACAACATAGTAGGTGTCATGAAACGCTATATCTAACGAAGCATTTGCTAAAATAACTCCTGATAAACCACCTATAGTAAACATAAATACAAACCCCAATGCAAAAAGCATTGAAGGAGTCAGGTGTAATGATCCACCATAACAAGTAGCTAATCAACTAAATATCTTAATACCTGTTGGTACTGCTATAATCAGAGTTGCAGCAGTAAAGTATGCTCTTGTGTCAACATCTAACCCAACTGAGTACATATGATGACTTCAAACAACGAATCCTAGCACTCCTATAGACATCATAGCATATACCATACCTAAGTATCCAAATACGCTTTTATTAGAACTGGCTGATATTGTTGTACTAATCACACCAAAACCAGGAATTATCAATATATAAACTTCTGGGTGGCCAAAGAATCAGAACAAGTGTTGGTATAATATGGGATCTCCTCCACCGGCTACTTCAAAAAAGGATGTGTTAAAGTTTCTGTCTGTTAAAACCATTGTGATACCTCCTGCTAATACTGGTAAGGATAACAGTAATAGCACGGCTGTTACTACTACAGCTCATCCAAATAGTGCCAGTTTATGCAGTCTGATTCCAGGACTTCTCATATTTAATATAGTTGTTATAAAATTCATAGCCCCTAGTAAACTACTTATCCCCGAAAGATGAAGTGCAAATATAGCTAAATCTACACTAGGACCACTATGACTTTGTATTCCTGATAAAGGAGGGTATAGTGTTCATCCTGTCCCTGCACCATTTTCAATAGTGCTGGCAAAAAGAAATAAAATTAAACTAGGAGGAAGTAATCAAAAACTTATATTGTTTAGTCTTGGAAACGCCATATCAGGCCCCCCTACCAATAAAGGAAGTAAGAAATTACCAAACCCTCCTATCATGGCAGGCATAACCATAAAAAATATCATTATGATAGCATGTGCGGTAATTATGCTGTTGTAAAGTTGATTATCCGCTATGTACTGTACACCAGGCCCTGATAATTCTAGTCTTATTAATACAGAAAAAGCTGTACCTAATAGCCCTGAAAATAGAGCAAATATTAGATATAATGTCCCTATATCTTTTGCATTACTTGACAAAAATCAACGTTCTCACCACATTGATATTTTTGATTGTTTTAGGTCAGCATGTGTGTTTAATTGAGAATCACTATAATTAAGTTCAAATGTGTTATTATAATTAGGCATAAAAGTAATAAATTAAAAGGGTAAACCAAAATAATTAAACTTTGTTCCTTATTTTGGTTTAACTATATAAGTGTTTTATAAATTATGTCTTGTTTTTTATTTGTAGAAATCTTTATATTTGTACAGTAAAGATATGCAGTTATTATAAATAAAAACCTACATCAAATGTATTACTAATACAAATACTTAAATTATGATAACATGTAGAATTGTAATACGGTTTATTATATGCTATATATTTCATAACAGATTTGCACAGTTATTATTCGATCCATAACGGGTTTTTAACGTGTTTCAGAGAATATCCGATTCGAACGGATGTTAGTATATTTTACTAAAATAAGTTTCAAGCTTATCGCTATAAACCACTCAGCCAATTCTCTTTCCAGTTGCACATTATTTCTTTTTAGTATTTATACATTAATAAGTAACTGATTCCTCGATGACTTGAACATCGAACATACTCTTATCAAAAGTACACTTTACCTATTAAGTTAAGGAACCTTTAATTACAAGAGCACTCAGACTTGAACTGAGAATTTGAAGTTTGAAGCTTCCTATTTTGCCCATTAAACTATACTCTTTTACACATCTTGTTTTTTTTTTTCTTAAAAATTTAAACCAAATATACGGAAAAGAGATGATTTGAACATCCAGGTGTTAAAACACAATATTTAGCAAATATCTTGCCTTACCTATGGCGACTTTTCCTTTTATTTTCTCTTTTCTGCAAGAAACGAGCTATGTCGGCTACGATCCGACATCTACTTTCTCGACAAGAAAGTTCTTTACCAATTAAGTTAATAGCTCTTAATTAAAATAAATATACGGCCAACCGAATTCGAATCGGTACACATCGTTTGGAAGACGAACGGTCTACCATTAACCTATGGCCGTTTTTTTTTTTTTTATTATTTTTTTCTATAACTGGACTAAGATTATAAAAATTTGATCTAAAAAGGACTAAACCCATTTTCACTCCAAGAAAAACTAGAGGCAACTATCAGGTACTTCTGGTATACCACGAGATGTCAAGTAAATAAGACAGGGGCAACCTAGCAACGTAATACACCTGTTACCAAGTACCGTAATAAAGTGAAATCAAATGACGTGGAGTCATTACTTGCATTAATTTATTTTTTATCTAAATGAAAAATGTTTATTAATATTTCAATCAGCAAACGAAAATGTGAATGAAATATAACGTCAGCTTGACCCTCTGTTGCTATAATGTTCTACCCAAATCAGTTAAAATTGTGTTTAATAAGCTGATAAATTCTAAATATACTTGTGCTTCCATTATATTCTAATTACTACGATCCTCAATAATAAACAGACAAAAATAGGAATAATCAAACAACATCTACAAAGTGTCAATATAATATTCCGGATTCTAAACCTAAATGATGGTTTTCTGTTAAATGGTATGCTAATAAACGTCAAAAACCTACAGCTAAAAATATAGTCCCTATTATAACATGGAGTCCGTGAAATCCTGTTCCAAAATAGAAACATGAACCGAAAGCTCCATCTGATAAAGTAAATGAAGAAACTGAGTATTCTACTCCTTGAAATCCAGTGAATACAAAGGCTAATATTATAGTAAATATTGCCCCATATAGTGCTCCATTTCTGTTTCCTTGTATCAATGAGTGATGAGAATATGTAATAGTTACACCAGATGCTAATAAGATAACAGTATTAAGTAAAGGTAATTCAAAAGCGTTGATTGCTTCTATACCCATAGGAGGTCATTGAGCACCTAATTCCACAGTAGGTGATAATGCACTATGAAAGTATGCTCAAAATATGGCTAAGAAAAATAATACTTCAGATACTATAAATAAAGCCACTCCCATGTTTAAACCTCTTTGCACAGCTAGAGTATGGTTACCTAAATAAGTTCCTTCTGAAATTACATCTCTAAATCATAAAAACATACTTAGTACTACTAACATAAAAGCAGATGGTAGTCAATACTCTGCATATGAAAAGCTATGCATTGTTGAAACACCTGATGTAGTTAAAGTTAATAAACTAATACAAGTAAAAAGAGGTCAAGGAGAAGGAGAAACTAAATGAAAAGGATGTCCTTGAAACGCACTCCTGTTTAGATTTGACATATTAACAAGTTATATACTTCATACAAAACTCTTTTTTTTTTTTAGACTTTGTATTGTGTTTTATTGGATATGGCTAAGCTAATTTTAGTTTTTATACATAATACTAAAAAAATGTTTAATACAAGATTGTTATTTCATCTATATAGTTATAGGTTAATTTCTGTTAAATACACATATTTATATACTGACGATTATATTAAAAAAACCATAGACTTTACATGCAGTAGTGCAAGTATAATACATATCACATAATAACTACAATGCTAAATTTAATGCAATTCTAATGCATCTTTAATATAAGAACATGATAATACAACAAAAACTTGAGCTTGTATAAATGCAATTCCTAATTCTAATCCAGAAAATGCAATTATAAATGCTAGAGGGAATAAACCTAAGAAAAAGAATAAAATTCCTGATGTCATTATATTATAGGTAAACCCACTTAAAATATTCAAAAGCATGTGACCTGATAAGATATTAGCTGCTAATCTTAAACCTAATGATACATTTCTTGCAAGGTATGAAATAAATTCGATTAATACTAATAAAGGCAATAAAGCCAATGGGCAACCCGCAGGTACAAAAAGTGAGAAGAACTCTAATCCGTGTTTGTTTAAACCTAAAATAGTAGCACCTAACACAACTGTAAAACTAAGTGAAAAAGTTAAAATGAAATGGCTAGTTGAAGCAAAACTGTAAGGCACCATACCTATTAGATTATTAATTAAAATAAACACAAATAGTACATATATAAAAGGAAAGTATACTTGACCTTTTTTTTCGTTTATTTGATTTACAACTATACTGTGAACAGTGGCATATACGGTTTCTTGGCATATAGATCAAGAATTGGAAACGATTCTTTCATTATTATTTCCAACAAGATTTAATATTAATACTAAGTATCCTGCTAAAGTTAAATATAAACCTATATTTGTTAAAGATAGAGAAATATTACCTAATATTGGGGCATTTAAACTGATTAAATCTCTAATTTCAAATTGGTCTAATGGGCTAATTAAATTTAAGAATGTATTCATAATATTAGTTAGAAACTATAAATATACTAAAAGATAAAGGTTCCAACTGTTTATAGTAACTATTAAGAGCTATGAGATTTGAACTCATATTATAATGATTAAAAGTCACATACTTTGCCATTAAGTTAAGCTCTCTTTAATTTTTATAACACTATAGCATTGTAATTTAGAGACAAGAAGGAATCGAACCTTCTCTTTTTGATTTGCAATCAAAAGGTAAAACCTTTTACTTTGTCCCTTAATAGATAACGCTTAGTTATATTTTAAAGCTATTGAAAGATAAACGCGAACAGGAGTCGAACCTGCACCTTTGTGTCCGTAGCACAACTTTCTACCATTAAACTATCACGCTTTAAGCCCTTAGAATGAATCGAACATTCATCAAGGTATTAACAGTACCTCGCTCTACCGTTGAGCTATAAAGGCTAATAGTTTTGCACATATAGACTTTGTAAAGGGAAATTAACATAACAAATTATCTATAGATATAATAAGGAAAAAGTTTTTTTTTTTTTGGGGGGGGTGTTGTTAATATTTATTAAACCCGTGCAATTTCTACTACACGAACCGTATTTCGACTTAACACCAATCAAAGTCATACATACGAAGATTAATTGACAAAACGTAGTTTTCTATATTTAATAAGAAACAACCTAATTGTTTATAAATAGAATCATCAATTAAACAAACTTATTGCACATACTCCTTTCGGCGCCTGACGAGTGGTTAGTACCTGACTGAGATTAGAGCCACCGTGATGTGGTGATTCACGATTACTAGTAATTCCTTATTCATGCAGTCGAATTTCAGACTACAATCCATATTATATCCTATTTTAGAGATTAACTCATATTCACATATTTGTCTCTCTTTGTAAAGGCATATGCAGCACGTCGATAGCCCACAACATTAAGGCCATGATGACTTGTCTTCTTCCCTATTATCCCAGTTACTAATGCAACCAAGCACTATCCTTATTATAAGTAAATAAAGCAAGGGATCACGCTAATTTAATGGATCTAACCAAAATCTCACGACATTAGCTTTAGACAGCCGTGCAACGCTTGTTATATCTAAGTAACTATTAATATTTAAAACAATAGTTATTTAGATACCATTCAAGTTGTGGTAAGGTTTTTCGAGGGTTATCGAATTAAAAAACATACTTCACTACTGGTTTCAGAAACGGTCTAATGATTTCAGTTCCTGCGTTGCCGCATTACTCTTGAGGTGGAATGCTTACACTTTCATTTATACATCAATTTTAATCTAACATATAACATTCATGATTTTCTGCCTGGACTACTAGGGTATCTAATCCTGTTTGCTCCCCAAGCCTTCGTCCCTCAACGTCAGTTTATACATAGAGGGTTGTCTTCGCCGTTACACATTCTATTAGTATCAAGGGATTTCATCCCTACACCAATAGTCCTAATATTTACCTCTCACATAAAACTCTAGCAAAGATATACTTTTTAGAAGTTGCTTTTGCCGTCTAGGTACCCTTTAAACCTAATAAAGATGAATAACACTAATCTTACTTGTGTTGCCGCGACTGCTGGCACAAGCATTGGTCAAGATATGTGAGTAGATATTTGTCATCATCAATCATCTACCCAGAATTTTATGCAACAGAGTTGCCACATGTCACAAAATTGTGAACATGCACGTCGTTAAACGATTACATTCCACCAAATAGCTGGTTCAGCCGTTAGGCCATTGACCAATATTCCCCACTGCTGTACTATACATATTGGGGTTTTTTCAGACCCAATGTGGTCAATAAACCTCTCAGTTTTGACTACAGATAAAAGCTAGCTAAGAAATTACCTTAACTACTGCTTACCTGATTATAACATAAACATCTTAAAGCAGATACATAATGATCCTTTTATAGAAAACACTGTTTTGAATGTTAATTCTATTCTATAAGGGATTTTTCCCTTACTTTAAGGCACCCGTGTTATTTTGTACTCACCTTTACACCACCTTACTTTATATGAAAAAAAGTAATGTATGATTAGCATGTGTCAAGCCTTTGGACAGCGTTCAATCAGAGCCATCATCAAACTCAAAATTATTAAATATATTTATACCAATTAAAATTATTTATAAATAGCAAGTTGTAGCGGTTCATATGAAATCAGTGAATTGAACACCTAGCCTTCTACTATATTTATTGTAAATTAGCTGCTTTACCTATAAAGTCTATTTCTTTTAATTCATTCTTATAGCTTTGTATGATAAGTCTTACATTTAGTTTTTAATAAAATTAGTACTTTGTACCTGAAAACATTAAAATTATTTAAGCCAAAGCCTATACAATTTATTACATATCATAATGTAATAAATTCGTAGTGTTATACTACGTATATTTAAGAGTATCTTAAGGTAAACTTCGTGCCTATATGCATTCAGCACTTATTTCTAACTAACATAGCTTTCCTGCCGTGCCTATTATATAAATACACATGATTAATTGTGTAATTTTGTATAGTCAGTAAACAACTATCTATTTAATTAGATATTATATATAAACAACAGGTAAACCATAGGTTAATATACCCAACTCCTTTCGTACGAAGGGGCTATCCTTATTTTACTCTAATTACTTTTAGAA